TTCTGTTTAATTTTTATTGATTACATTATTTATTTGATTAATTTTGTATGGTTTTAGTTATTTTTCTCATTTTCATTATTTTTTATATCTATTTTTTTTCTAAGGTAAGAATAATCTTTAAAAAAGAAAAAAGAAATGGAGGTTGAAAGCAATTCAAAAAATTTAAATAAAAATTTCAAAAAAAATTTAAAAACAAAAATTCATCAAAAATAATCTCAACTTTCATTTTGTTGCCTAAAACGGGCATTTCCGTTAACCCTCCGTTAGAAACTTAACGGCGACCCAAAACTGACAAATTTCAATAAAGTTGGGATTATTATGCATCACAGTGAAAGGTGAGATTAATTTTGAAAGACCGGGTAAAGTTGGGATTATTTTAGGTAATTTTTTCTATTTAAATATAAGAGCATCTTTAATGGAAAGTGCTTGTAAAATTGTTGAGCAATGTTAGGGGTACACCAAAAGTGTACCACATTTGTCCCTCACCCCCTTCTCCACCACTCATTTTTATCTACTTTTTATTTAATTAATTTTTTTAAAATTTTTGCCCATTTTTGTGGGAATGGAGGGGGTGAGGGACAAATGGGGTACACCTTTGGTGTACCCCTATCATTTTTCAAAATTGTTTCATATGCAAAGTTGAGGTTAGGAACATGTAGAACACCGTTCTACATGTTGAGGTTAGCATTTTTAAAATGTACTACGTACTTTGTAAAATATGAAGCTTAAGAAAGTATTGAAAAGTGAATATATATATATATATATATATATATATATATATATATATATATATTCTGTTTTTAAATAGATTACACATTGTATTACTTTAACTTCTAGATTACATGTTTTTGTTTGTGTGTTTTCATTTATTTTTTGATACAATAAAATATTTTTGTAACATCTTGTTTTATAGATTTTGACGTAATTTTTTTAAATGTATTTTTTATTTTTATATCAATTTCTAAATAAAATAGTTTCAAACTACTCCGTATTAGTTTTGCCTTGTAACTCCTTTCAAGTAATATATTGCGGGACAGAAGGAAAGAATTGGGTCTTTGGGAATAGCGTTAGCGTTTTAGATAAAAATTTAACGGTACAGATTACTTTGAAAACGCTAATGGTATAGCATTTTCAAAATGTTAATCACTAATGCTATTCCCAAACAGACTCATTAACAATAGTCATGTACTCTGTATTTTTTTATCTAAAAACAAAAAGGTGACTTTTATTTTGCATCGAATAAGAAAAATTTATCAATATTTAAAAAACATATCTAAACCAAGAACTCAACTTTGTGTTGTAAACACAAGCGCTTTGAATATTGCACATGAAATTTTAAATTGGGCCAAATTTGTGGAGTTTATTATTATTATTATTGTTATTGTTATTGTTGTTGTTGTTCTTGTTCTTGTTGTTATTGTTGTTGTTATTATTAGTATTAGTATTACTATAATTATTACTATCACTATTACTATTATTACGGAGAGTGTATTAATATATAGTAACTAACTATATATTAAAAAGACCCTACTCAGTATTCTTTTGATCTTAATATATTCAAAAAGATAAAAAATGTTTTAGACAAAAAAAAATAAAGTACTTAATTTGACAAATTAAGTAGTATATGTTTTTTTTGTCTCAAACACAAACTTTTTTTTATTTTTTTAACTTTTATAAAAATCTAGGGCCTAATAACTTCGTTGCCCCCTCTGGTTTGAAAATTGACACCAATACCCTCTTTGTTTTTAAAACTTATTTCTAAAGTCTCTGTGGTTTCAAAACGTTGCACCCGCAACCCCTTCTGATCATTTTCCGGCCATTTTCCGGCGAAAATGGGGCATTGGTGCATAAATTCTAAACCATAGGTGCACTCATGCTCATTTCTTATTTTTCGTTTATTATTCGTGTTTTCCTTCTTTTTCCTTTTCCTAGATTTTTTTTAAATTTCTTTTAAATTTTTATAATGTTTTAAAATTTTTTAAAATTCTTTGTGTTTGAACTAATAAAAAAAATTAACATACATTACATCTATCTCAAATTAAACATTTTCACTTTTTCTTACATAGAATAATTTTGTGGAAACTTCAAAAAGAAAACCCAAAATAAAAATATAGAAAAACGAAATGAAAAAATTAAAATATGAAAAAAAGAGTCTTTTACAAATAAACAATTTTGGAACACGCCTAAAAATATCCTTAAAATTGAGATGTCCAAAAAGGGTAATCATTTTTATTTTTGTATTATTTTGTTTCTTATTTTATTCATCATTTTTTAGAAGTTCAAAAAAAATTACCTTTTTTTCGGAAAAAACAAAAATTGTTAATTTGAGACGTGCCGATGCATTATATGTTAATTTTTTCAAACAAAAATAACTTTAAATTTAAAAAACATTGTAAAAGTAATTATAAAATAACCTTTATTAATAAATGAAACAAATAAAGTAAAAAAATGGGAAAAAAAGAGAGAAATAAAAAATCAGCACTGGTACCCCCCCATGGCATAGAAAATATGCATGAATGCCCCCCTTCTTCGTCGGAAAAATGACCGGAAAATGATTGGAGGGGGCACGGGTGCAGCGTTTTGAAACCACAAGGACTTCAGAAATAAGTTTTGAAAACAATGGGGGTATTGCTGCCTATTTTGTAAACCACGGGGGGTACTGGCGCTATTTAGCCTAAAAATCTAGGCTTGAAAAACAACTTTTCGTTAGTTCAAACTCAATCATTTTTCTTTGCTTTATGAAACAAAAAGAAAAGAAAAAACAATAAAAAAAGAGAAGGAGGGTTAATCATTGGCGCCTATTTCCAAAACCACGGGGACAAAGTAAGTTATTCACATAATATTTGAAGGATATTTTTGTCTATGGAATATTGACGTAGCAATATCAGAACCAAGAGGACAACAACGCAAGTTTTGAAGCCATAAGCGTGAGAGTAACGATGCAAATTTACCAAACCTCAGAAGGTGTTGGCCTGGTGCAATAAACTCATACTAATATTTATACTTTCTTTGTTCATAGAAGATTGTCACAATTTGACTTTTTTAATTACATTGTGGCATCATTTAATCACAAATTATGGAAAATGTATATTTAGTTATAATGTACTCCCTCCGTCCCCCAGTTTTTGTCCACTTTTGACTTTTGGAACTGTTCATCTAAGCACTTTGACTCATCAAATTCTCTCAATATGTAAGTCTAAATATAGTCATAAGAAAACCCCTTAAATAGGAGTAAAACATATGTCTTATCATTATAATAAGAGCTCAAACTTAAATTCCCTTAAATAAGAGTATTTGAATAAGAAAACTATCTAGATAAAATTAAAACATAACTCCTCAAAATAGGAGCTCAAATTAAAATTCTCTAAATAAGACCTAAATAATTAGAGTCTAAAGTAACCCACCACGTCTGATTCTCAAATAAGCTCTTTCTTATCCATTCTTATCCATTCACAGCCACTCTCTTCAACCCATTGCAGTATCTTTTGTATTTTAATACTCCGTATATGGCCGGTCATTTGAAAGGGTGTTTAATTTAGTTTGTTTTAGGGGATGAGGTTGATTTTTTGGGATTTTTATAGGGATTCTATTCTTATCAATGTTATTTAGTTTTGTAATTGGCTAATGAAACTGATGCTTTTTGTTATGACTTATGAGAGCATAATAACTCTGTGCTATTTTTCAAAGAAATTTGATGAGAATTATGTAGGCTAATTTTTGAAGAGAATTGTTTTGGTACTTGCCTGGTCGTGCAAGGCATTAAGTCATATTTGGCATTATGCTTTTGTGTAACATTTATAAATTCACATTGTGACATTATATATGAGCATTTGTAGCATTATATATGGGCATTTGTGCCATTATATATTGTTATGTATGACACTATGTGGTGTCATGTTTGTCATTATGTCCTTTTTGGCATTGTATTGATATTTGATGGTTAATGTTACACTGCGACGACAATGATACATAATTGTGATGTTAATGTGGGCAAAAATGGTAGAGAGCGGTAGTGTTGGTGGTGACGGTGATCGAAAAATCAACAACAGCAATGGAGGATTTTGACAGCAACGGGGGAGCATAGATGGCAGCGGCGGAGGAGACTTAAGTGATAATGGCAGGGACACAGCGACTAGGGCGCAACGACATCAGGTTGTTTGCGATGGAGCAAGTTGCTGAATTGTGTTTTAGTTTCAGAACTATGACAAAGTTTCTTTTTTGGTTTGAGCAAGTTTCTTTTTTGGGTTGAGTTAATATTTGCATGTACTCTTTTGTTTTCTAATATTTGAGCTAATACGGTAGATGAGCAAGATGAGTGGAGCGTGGGTACATTGATTGAATTACACAAATGAGTTGTGCACACATTAACTCATATTTTGGGGATTTTATCTTTCTACTCCTGTTTTTGGATTTAATCAATCTTTTACTCCTATTTTGTTTCTTAACCCTATAGTCATGTGTGATCTTGTTTAATTTGTCTTAACATATAGATCATTAATATATAATTTCTATAATTTTTTAATATACAAATTACAAGATAAAATGGATTAAAGAAGTACATTAAATGATGTGTAAAAATGAAAGTGAACAAAAACTGGGGGACGGTGGGAGTAAATCTTATAAAATTATATTTATTTTAAACTATAGTTTTTAAATATCAAATTTTTATAATATTTAAATATTTTAAGCTATGTTTAATTCATAGTTAAAGATACTATAATTTAGTCATAATTTGACCAAAAAATCAAACTGTGATAATGTTTTAAAAACGTAAAACGTAATAATAATAATAATAATAGTGAAAATAACAAAAACAACAACAACAACAATGATACATAAACAACACATCAATTTTAAAGTTATTATTTGGAGAGTGAAAATTGATTGCAGGAAATAGGAATAATTAGAAAAATTGAAAAAAGCTGAGAAAAATTAACAGAAAATTATTATTATTATTATTATTATTATTATTATTATTATTATGTATTACTACAAATATTATTTTTTAGTGAAATTGATTCTATTAAAATCTTGACATTATTTTATTTTTTACAACACCGAATAATAAAATAAGAAGGTGTAATAAAATCAGATCCCGTCATCGTAAGGGAAGGATGTCGAATCCAACCATTCATCGCCGGTGATGAACTCCGACACCGTGAAATTCCACGCATCATCGTACTCCATCACATGATAACCCGCCCAATCCACCCGATTATCCGTATCCGAACCCGGACCGCTGTTTTGATACTCCCCATAGTACAGTGTGTCCAGCCCTTGGTCGTCCCCGCCGACGCCCGCCCACCGGGTCCACCCACGCGGGTCAATGAAACCGCCGATGTACGATTCCATCACCACCGTCACGGAATAGTTCCTCCACGGCCGGCCCAAGAAGCTCTTGACGGCGTTAGAATTTCCGTCCAGGTCCCCGGCGGCCAAAACAGAGCAGTTCTGTATGGAGATCCCCGTCGCCTCGTATGGGCTGTCCCGGGACTGGGCGGCGACGACGGTGAACTGCCCGGGCAAGGGAATTCTGGTGACGATGTTGCAGCCCTGGAAGGCGGCGGCGGCGTTGCCGAAGATGAAGTCGATCGTGCCGGAGATGTCGCACTCCCGGTAGAACTGCCGGAAGGAGTGGACGTAGAGGGAGTCTTGGAAACCCGTTATGGCGCACCTGTACACCGCCGCTAAGTCCGAGTTGACGCGGAGGGCCACCGCCTGGTGCTTCGCCGGCCCCGCCGTGTTCTCGAAGGTGATGTCACGGGCTAAGAACCCGTCGCCGGAAACAGCTGTTTGAGAACAAAAACCAGTGAAACACAATTATTATACGGGGTATGAGTTCCTAGTTCCTACCCATTTTCCATAAAGAGCCTAAAAAATATGAAATATTTGCACTAAATAGCACTAAAACTTAAGTCATTTCCCTAAATAGCATTTAAACTGTTTCATTCTCTAAATAGTACTTATAATATCCATAATGTCCAGTGATGGCGAAATTTTGTTTGAATAATGACTAATGCATAATGACTAAAAGTGCTACATTGGAAAGAAAAATATATGTAGTGCTATTTAGGGAAAATCATTATGTTTTAGTGCTATTTAGGTAAATTCTTCAAAAAATATTCCATTACAGTAATAAAACAACTTATGAGTTCCTAGTTCCTTAGCCTCCAAATTAAGAAATATTTATCTAAATAGTATTAAAACATAAACATTTTGTTAATGTAGTATTATATATTTTTATTTCCTAATATAATATCACAAATCATTATCTACGGGTCATTGTTTAAGTAAATGTTTATCACTATCGGACATTATTCAAACCAAATATCCAGTGTTTCATTGGACATTGTTCTTGCTACTAGATATTATTCAAATACTGTTTATAAAATAAAAAAATATAAATACTACATTGAAAATAACTTATGTTTTATTACTATTTAATGCAAAATTTCACATTAAGAAAAGATAAATTGAATTTTAATATAAGTTTTTTTAAAAATATTTTTGAAACGATTTTTTTTATAATTTATCAATATCTAAATAGATATATAAATAATTAAAATGTTATATTTCATAGGAAAAATCAAATGAAAATACTTTTTTAAATAAAAAACATGTTACGGGGTAAGTTATTTTGTCAAAGGAGTACATGTCAAGTACAGGCTGTACAGCCTTTTTAGTATCCTAAAATTCAACCAAGACAATACCAATTTCTGCAAAATTAAGGATGTTCTAATATTCAACCAAAACACTGTATTTTCTAGTTTTCCTATTTCATATAATCTGGATATTAATGCTTTGGATAAAGCTATTTGTACCCTTTGTACCCCACTTTGCACACCGTATGTTTGTATCAACATTTTGTGTTAGTGTAAAACTAATTTTTGTTAATGCATCAATACTTTGTGTCCGTGTAAATTTTTGTTAAGGCACCAACATTTATTTCTATCTAAACCATCAAAAATGTTCGTGCAGTGTGGCATGGTGCTTTAGAATGAAATTTGTACGGAGTAGAACCAATTACCAACGGTGGCGGATCGGAACGTCGTCCAGCCGTCGGCGACGCTTCTGTTACCGGTTATGACGGTGACGTCACGGCCGTCTCCGAGCAAAACAATGTTAGGCTTCCAGCTTGGGATCTCCACATTTTCTTGATAGATCCCCTGCCTCACGTAGATGAATATCCTGACGGCGCTGTTATTTGGCGCAAAGTTAACGGCATCCGTCACGGTGGTGAAATTCCCCGTCCCGTCCGCCGCCACCGTTAACGTCTCCCCCTGGCCATCGTAATCCCCGGCGTCGCCGTCACCGTCGTCTTGCTGCTGCAGAAGGATGCGGCGGTCCCTCCGTGAAACCCACCCCGGGAAATCTGCCGACATGAGCCTTCTCCGCCCCCGCCGATTTCCGGCGCCGGGTCGGGGGAGAGCAGACAGGGCATTGCTGACCTGCTGGTAGGTGTCCCGAATAGAACCCAACAGCGTCGCTTTCATGGGCCCCGCCGCCGTCTCCAGCGCCTCCAAGCAGGTGGCTCTGTTCGTCAGCGCCCCGCTGAGATACGCCTTCGCGTCGGCGAGCTTGCCGGATTTCACGCCGGAGACGGACTTCTTCATCGCCGAAACCGTAACCCCGTTCAGCTCTGTACAGTCCCGGACCGTCCCTCTCTGGGTCTCGACGATGTTGTGGCCGGAGGCGGCGGCGGCGAAGAGGCGGGAGAGCTCGCCGGCGTCGGTCAACGCGGTCTGGAGGGACTGGAGGAGAAAAGTCAAAATGTTAGGATTTACTTGAATTGAGACGGAGAGTTTGACGGAGCTGAGACAAGCTTCGGGGTAGGGAGTGGAGCGGCAAAACGACGTCGCAGAAGTGATGGGGTAGTTCTTGAGATCTACTACAGTTTCAGTGAGGACTGAGGAGAAATGAAGAAGAAGAAGAAGAAGAAAGGTCCGGTGAACTATGGGGACGGCCATGGCCACCGCGCCGCCGCCGCCGGGGTAGATCTCAGCTAGGAAGAAAGATGAAGTTCACAATACTCCATTATTGTGTAATGCCGTATATACTACGGACGGAGGACTACTATATACTGGATTACTGGAGTAATACAATGGCCAATTATTAAAGCATTTTGGATGCATTAAGAATGTGAATATTTCAACATTTGTTTGATACGGAGTATTTTTTTGTAAACGTATCTGTTTGAGTTTTAATTTTAAATGAATTTGATATTAAAAATTTGAATTTAACAGTTGAAATTATGACATTTAGAGCCAAAGTTTGACCTTTTATAAGTGGTACCTAATACGTTATATGACAAAAAAACAATTTCCTGGGTAATTGTTGTACCGGAGTATTTTACAAATAAAAATGGGACGGAGTAATAAAAAGTCTTTTGCGGACAAACAATAAAGAATATTTTGAAAAATTTAAGGCAGACGAGGGAGAGTATTGTTTTATTAATGTACTTATATGAGTTTCATGAAGAGAAATTTAGGACTAAAACATAATTACTTTCCTAATATAGGATCATATGTTTTTATTTTCTAATGTAGGATCTTTGGTCATTTTAAAATACTTCGGTAGTCATTACTCAAGTAAATGTCCATCATTACTGGACATTATTCCCACACTAGGTCATTATTAAGTCCTATTTAGGGAATAAAAAAGTTCAAGTCCTACATTGGGAAAGTCATTATGCTTTAGTCCTATTTAGTGCAAATTTCACTTTCATGAATCTAAAGTTCCCGTTTGATATCAACATTAGAGATTGGTATCTGACAATGCCTTTTAATGTTAGCATTTTCAGAACGAATCTAGATTACTAAATATTTTTTCAAAATATTAGTGCTAATCGAAAACGATGTTCCAAACAAACCAAAGTGTAGTCTGGTTTGTGAAGCACCGAATCAGTAGTGATACGTATATTCTCCAAAGTCCAAACCAAACTCTATCTCCAATAATACGGAGTAACTATAGAAAGGGCACCCCACCTCACGTACTCACATGCAGGGTTGTAACCGACATTTTTTTAAAAAAGTAATATTACTAATTTTAGGGTGTCTTTGATAAGCAAACAAGATATGAATTTAAATATCTCTTCAAAACTTTTTTTTGGTATTTCGTGAATCAAAAGAATATATATCGAATTTGATATCTCTAGATATTGTAAATCCTTCAAATAGAGGGTTTCGATATCTCCCGATTTTGATATCCCTCTCGATCATTGATCATTCTACGTCACCGGCTACCATTGTCACCACCAACCACCCTCGTTGCCGGTCATCCCCGTTTATCACTAATTAAGTCATGATTTTAAATATCTCCAAACAAATTCATTTTAGATTTCAAAACTCATATCATTTCTCTCAGATTTCATAACTCATATCTTATCAATTCTCCAAAACTCATCAAGCGGGCCCTCAATAACGGTACTTGCACGCCACTCGGGGCGTATCAAATTGTATTAAAAAAACGTATGATGAGCCTCACATATATCAAATTGTATTCAGAGTATTAAAGGATTGAACTACTAGTACTTTATTAGGCCATTTGTACTCATCCGCCGCACCCATCCGCCCCTCAAAGCTCGAGATTGCCGCACAATAATCATTAATCCTTTGCATCAATCTAAATAAACAATTCCTTAATACATAGCCAATTGTCACACTATCAAACATAAACACATTATCAATTGTGGAAGAACCCATACACGAATAAAATGGATCGGGTCAAAAAAACCAAGAGCATTGGGTTAACCCGACAACCCGGCCGTGTATTTCACGCCCGTTGACGGCAACCACGAGTCGCCCAAGAGGAACTCGGCCACCGTGAAGTTATGTACTTGGGCCGAGTTGTTCATCATATGGTAACCGGGCCACTTGACCCGCGTACCCAAGCCCGACCCGGGCCCGTAGTTGGCGAACTCCGCGTAAAACAGGGAGTCCAGTGCGAAAGTTCCGTTCCATTCGAGCCATCCTTCGGGTCGGATCGCGGCGGCCATGTACGACTGCATGACCACCGTGCGCGAATATAGCTTCCACGGGCGGCCGAGGTAGTTGGCGGTGGCATTAGCGGCGGCGATCACATCCGGCTCGGCCGTGATGTTGCAGAATTGGAGGGAGAATCCGGTGGGCTCGGCCGGATCCTTGCGGCCGTGGGCGGTGATCGTGTTCTTCTGGCTCGGGAGGCCCTTCCGGACGGAGATCTCGCAGCTCTGGAAGACGGCGGTGCTGTCGCCGAAGATGAAATCGACGGTGCCGGTGATCTTGCACTCGCGGTAGAACTGGCGCATGGAGTGCGCGTAGAGCGTGTCTTGGTAGCCCCTGATCGCGCACCGGTACAGCACCGACAGATCGGAATCGGATCGGAACGCCACCGCCTGGTGCTTTTCCGGCCCCGCCGTGTTCTCAAATGTCAAGTCCCGTGCTATAAATCCACGGCCTTTCACAGCTGCAACAATCCAACACCATCCTTTTATATTTTATTTTTTAAAAAACTTATTTTAAATTATTTAATCTTTTCAATTGAAATTCACAAAGTAATAAATTTATGAAATCTGTCACTGTATATTTGTGAATGGCTTTTTAACTTTAAATTGGTGCATACATTACCTAAAAATGTTTCTATATTTACGTGAAAGAATAAATCAATAAGAATACTGATTATTAGTCGGAAAAAATTAGATTAAGATTAAAAATGAAAAAAATATATCTAAAAAAAATTCTATATTTTTAACTTCAAGATAAAAGTATAACTCCAATATATAATATAAAAAAATAGTACAATGTTACAATACAAACTCTTATTTAAAAAAATATAAAATTCCTATTTTAAGAAATAAATGCTATATTGTACGTCATGATTTCTGTTATTACTCGGATGAACTTATGATATCCTTTTCCTTGCTAGTGTATGAGTCTACTTTGATTAAATTTTAATCTTTAATTACTTTCAATTTGTATATTGTATATAAATGTAAGAAAATACTCTCTCCATTCTAAATTTAACTTTCCATTTAATTTTTGACGGTCTCCTATACGATACTTTGACCATCAATATCTCAATTTTTATATAAATATATTTTATAAAAATTATATATTTCAAAATTATGTTTCAAAATAAATCTATTGCTAATAAATTTATATGAAAATTCAATGTATTTTTTTTGTAATATACGATCAAAGTTTAAAAACTTTGACTACAAAAGTTAAACTGAGAAATTAATTTTATGACGGAAGGAGTAAATTTTTAAAAATTTTTAGAAGAGAAATCTAATGAAATTATTTTCATACTTCTATAATTTATAATGCTTATTTAATTGATACTCTCTATGGTAATAGATGAGTTTGTCATTTTCAATTTTTGATTTAGTTGGATCATACGGAGTAATTCATAACCTAAGATTCATTTCGAGCTGATCCAGGAAGTGAATCAAAGTGGCTCTAATAAGAGAAACTTAAATTTCCTCAACAAGCAAAGCCAAACAATGTCCGCAAACATCGCTTTCCTCAACGTTAGTGTCGGACACGCGCATATTAAAAAAAAGACTTTTTCTTACCGAAAGTAGCAGATCTGTATGTGGTCCAGCCGTCGATGAAGCTCCGGTTGCCGGAAAAAATGGTGGCATCCATCCCGTCTCCGATCAGCATCAAGTTCCACTTCTTCTTACCGATCTCCACGTACTCTCTGTACACCCCCTTCTTCACGTATATCACATATCGCCGAAAGCTCGTGTCCGGTGCGGCGGCGACGGCGTCGCTAACGGAAGTGAAATTCCCTGTTCCGTCGAGCGCCACCACGGCGTCCGGCTTCACTCCGGCCGCCTGGAGAAGTCTCCGGTCACTGGGTTTTACCCAATAGGGGAGTTTTTCTCTCAAATTCCTGTTTATCCGCTTGGGCGGTCTTCCCGGAGTCGGGCGGACCATGGTCAGAGCATCCCGGACGGAGGAACCGATCTGGGTCAAACTCCCGGCGACCAAATTCTTGACGAGACCGTTAGTTCCGACGAAGCCTTCCAAGCACGTGTCCTGATTGGTCATAGCGCCGCTCAGCCACGTCCTCAAATCGGCGCTCAAATTCCCAGTCGTCCCGTTATCCTTTTTGCCGTAATTGGGATTCTGAGAAGCAGAGAGAGTGAGGGAGAGCTCGTCGGCGGAGAGCTCGAGAAGATCAAGGCAGTCGGAGACGGCGTGGGAGAGCCTCAAATCGCCGCCGCCGAAGAAACCGCCGAACCTGGACACGACGGAGGTGACCTGCCGGACGATATCTATGGTGGTCTTCAACGACCCCATGAAGTCGGAGGCAGAGCCCTTCAGTAGGTCGACCGGAATAAGGTCGAATCCGTCGTAGTCGTCGTCGGCGGCAGAACAGCCGGACATGGAAGAGAAACACAGGACAGCCAAACAGAACGCCGCCGCCGCCGTAGCAGCAGAGGCCCAAGGAGAAGCCATTTCAATTTAAAACCTCAATTAGTAACCGAAAAGCAGATCAGATCAGAGAGGATTGAATTGAAGAAGCTGAATTAAGGGAGTTAAATTGAATAATGGGGAAATTAAAGAATGGGTTTTTTTTGGGTTTTTCAAGAACCATACAATGGTGAACAGGGAGGTGTCCTAAACAGGGGAATTGAAGAGATTAATGAATGAAAGAGCAGGGAATTAAGGAAGTTAAAGAGGGCCGGTGAAGAAGAAGGGTGCAGGCAACTACTCCTCCTCTGCGGAATTGAAGGTGGCTAAACATGCACTATTTATAACATAATAGTCCCCCTCTCCCCGTGGGGCATACTTGAGCGGTAAAGACTCCGGTGTAGTGTGTGCCAGCTGGCTGAGATTTGAATCTCTATTGTTTGCCGCCACGCAAACGGGGTCTCGTTGCCCGGTCAGTGAGTCGTGGGTTCAAGGGGGTTGGGGTGACGCTCCCTTGGCTAGGGTCTGTGGGGCGGAATTCCTCGTCCAACCCAACGCTATGCTATGTTGCTGTATTAGGCCCTAACTGTTATATTGGATCAGTCTGTCTTGTGTGCCTTTTTTTATAGAAGTACGGCACAAACCTCGGTAATCTAGAACTGTCATCGTAATACAATTCGATCTCCGTTCTT